GTCCCGGGCATGGTAAGGGGGTGTCCCCGGCATGGTAAGGAGTGTCCCGGGCATGGTGAGGGGCGTCCCGGGCATGGTAAGGGGGTGTCCCCGGCATGGTAAGGAGTGTCCCGGGCATGGTAGGGGCGTCCCGGGCATGGTAAGGAGTGTCCCGGGCATGGTAAGGGGTGTCCCCGGGCATGGTAAGGGGCGTCCCGGGCATGGTGAGGGGCGTCCCGGGCATGGTAAGGGGGTGTCCTGGGCATGGTAAGGGGGTGTCCCGGGCATGGTAAGGGGGTGTCCCGGGCATGGTAAGGGGCGTCCCGGGCATGGTAAGGCCGTGTCCCGGGCGTGGTAAGGGGTGTCCCGGGCATGGTAAGTGGTGTCTCCGGGCATGGTAAGGCTGTGTCCCGGGCGTGGTAAGGGGTGTCCCGGGCATGGTAAGTGGTGTCCCCGGGCATGGTAAGGCCGTGTCCCGGGCGTGGTAAGGGGTGTCCCCGGGCATGGTAAGGGGTGTCCCCGGCATGGTAAGGGGTGTCCCGGGCGTGGTAAGGGGTGTCCCCGGGCATGGTAAGGGGTGTCCCGGGCGTGGTAAGGGGTGTCCCGGGCATGGTAAGGGGTGTCCCCGGCATGGTAAGGGGTGTCCCGGGCGTGGTAAGGGGTGTCCCCGGGCATGGTAAGGGGGTGTCCCGGGCATGGTAAGGGGTGTCCCCGGGCATGGTAAGGCCGTGTCCCCAGGCACGCCCTGGCCCACGCAGGACCCTGGGTTAGAGAAGCCGCTGGACTCTGGGGAATACCCTGTTGTTTCTGAAATTTGTGCCAAGAGTGGGGATGGCAGACAAGTTTTCAAATTTCCTGTGGCTTAACTCCTGCGGGTTAAAGGCGCTCGCTCCCGTAGAGTGTCGATTAGTTCTGATTAAATCGCTCTGCCCGGCAGGCAGGGTGGAGTATTGTCTTCCTTCTCCGGGGAGGCGTGTTTTCCAGAACCGAGGATCTGGACTGGGTCTTGCCTACCCCACCTTCCTCCCCTCCACTCACCTCTCCCTTCCCACCTCTCCTCCCTCCCTCCCTCTTTTCTCTCTCCAATTTCCGTCCCATCCGGTACATACTGAATGATCAAAGCCATTTAATCACCGTTATTTAACTCCAAAAGGCTCACACGTCACTTCTGGATATTGCTACCGACCTTAACGCCCTCACAAAGTTATATTTCTTATACCACTTTGATGTTGGTAAAATGTACGGTTACCTGACAAACTTTAATTTCGAGAAAGTTGAAGTATGAACATGGCACCTCCTCCTTGAAACACTTTAATTGGCTCCAGGGACCTGGCTTCCTTCCTGTGTCTCCGTGAGCTGCACACACACATATTCAAGTGTTTATTTGGCTGCATTACCCACCCAGATGCTCAAATCAGAAACTTTGGAGCCTGAAACACTTCCACCTTCTCATTCATGCCTCAGACCCACTCATTCACTAAGTCTCACTTATTTTACCTCCTAAATCACTCTAAAAATCTATCATTTTTTCCTCATTTCCCACTCCCCCCCCCCAAATGCAGGTCACCTCGACCCCTTGCCTTGGGCCAACTCCTAATTAACTTGTTTTCTTGCCCTTAATCCATTCTTCCCTGTAAAGCCAGGAGTGATCTTTCTTAAAAAAAAAAAAAAAAATTTGATCATGTTAAAAATTTTTCACTTCCCTAAAGCAAAAACCCAAAAACTTTAAAATTATATTTATTTATTTGAATTTTATTTTATTTTTCCTACACCATTTATCCCCTTTATGCCCTCTTCCATCTCCACCACCCCCCGTAAAAACCCAGAAACTTTAAAAACAAATTTCTTTATCATCTTGCCCTAGTATATTCCTCCAGTTTCATTTTTTTTAAAAATATATCTTTATTGATTTCAGAGAGAGGAAAGGAGAGGGAGAGAGAGCAATAGAAACATCAATGAAGAGAGAGTCATTGATCGGCTGCAGCCCGCAACCCGGGCATGTGCCCTGACCGGGAATCAAACCCTGATCGCCTGGATCCTAGGTCGACGCTCAACCGCTGAGCCACGCCCGGCCGGGCATCCAGTTTCATTTCTTGATCTTTGATCTGCCAGACATACTTAATCTCTTTCCAGTTCTTCGAAATGCTATGCTCTCGTGAATGCTGGGTGAAACACGTCCCTCAGGCCTTTCCCTGTGCTCTGCTATCTCCTAGTCGTATATTCCATTTTTTTTTCTGGAAGCCTTTCCTGATAACACAGATTCCAGAGGGGTTCCTTTTATGCATTCTCACAACACTTAGGATGCCTGAGCATCACGCCGACGCTGTCTTGCTGCTGCTTACCTGCCTTTCTCACTCAGTGAGCTGAGACCATTCATCAAGCATGTGGAACCACGCATTCTAGCAGAAAAAACTTATGTTTGTGGACTCAGTGATATTAAAGCTGTCTTACGTGTATTATGAAGTAGACCTTGCTTCACAGATGGTTTCTACACAAAACCCCTGCAAACATTGTGAAAGCACTTAATTTTTGTAGAGTAAGTCGGTTCAGACATGGTAAATGAGAAGTAGCTGTGAGATCAGGAGATCTAATCCTAGGGGCAGATTTTTAGGCCCAAACTGCCGTTTCACCGTGACTCACTAGTGGAAAAGCGCAGGGAAGGAAACCTATTAAACCTGAAGTCTAGCTTCCTAGAGACATTTCTATTATCAGGAGAGAAGAAAGTTTTCCCTTCATTTATATTGTTTTCTTATCCAGGGCCAAGTATCATAATTTCATACTATAGATCAGTTAATTCACATATCAATAAAATTGTTTTTGGCAGTCTGTGGATTGTAAGACCGTATAAACATGGTTTCTGAGTTGAACTGGTTCTTGGGTAAAGCGTGTCATATGTAACTCTTAGAACCAATAATTACCCTTTGCCCCTCTCATTAACCTATTTCAGGTCAGAGGTTTATGTACGTCCTTTCAGAAGATAGAAAAAGAGAAGTGGGTGATTGCTTTTCATGGTAAAATGTATTCCAAGTCAGCGATTTAAAAGCAAAGTTTCTAACTGCAGTTTAGAGATTGCCTATATACAGGGAATGGTCATGACATATAAAACTGTCCTTTTCTTATGACCATGGTGTCAGGCACATGGCTAAGTGTTTCCAAATTTTATTTCGTTCTCGTGACAACTCCACGGAAGTTGTTGCAGATAACTAAACTCAGACTTTAGCTAGGTAACTTGCCCAAGGTCACACCTCAGTGGCAGTTAGAACAGACAACAGGGAGAGGAGGGTGGGGGAGGTAAGAGTGTAAAAGGGAGACAAGTGGTGATGGGAGGAAACTTGGCTGTGGGTGGTGAGGTATCATAGAATTGTACCCCGGAAACCTACAGAATTTTATTAACCAGTGTCGCCCCAATAAAGTCAATTAAAAAGTTTTTCCTGGGGAAAAAAAAAGAAAAAAAGGCAGACATGGAATTTATGAAAGTACTAAGGTGTAAATCATTAGTTATAACTTTATTATAGAAAGACCTTTAAGATTTGAATCCCACCTTTGCCACTTAGTTACTTGTGTTAACTTTGAACAAGTTACTTTTCAGTGCCTCAGTTTCTATAAAATGGGGATATTGATAATTTCAACTTTGTAGGGTTACAGGATAAAATAAATCAACACATGCAAAGTAAGTATTAACTGTTATTTATTTTTAAATTGGCCTGACTGTAAATAAATCAGTACGATAAAATCATAGCATTGAGTACTTTAAGCTTGATAATGAAGGGATCATGATGGGTTATCTAATTCATTCAGACAAAACCACGATTGAACTGAAATGCTCTATTTTAATTACCAGAGGTTTATTTTAATCCCATAAAGAAGTGTTCAATATTAGAAAATCTTAATGTCCAATTCAAATAACTCATAGTATAAAATCAAAGTATTTCTTTGTGTTCATCCGAATGGAGAATTAGATGGTCACCGTTTCCTATGGAATCACAAAATACCCCAGTCTTTTTTTTTTTTAATCCTCACATGAGGATAGTTTTTCCATTTCTTTTTCAGAGAGAGTGGGAGAGAGAGACAGAAACATCGATGTGAAAGAGACACGATTGGTTGCTTCCCACATGTGCCCTGACGGGGGCCGGGGATGGAGCCTGCAGCCTAGGTGCGTGCCCTTGGCGGGAATGGAACCCGGGACCCTTCAGCCTGCAGGCTGACGCTCTAACCACTGAGCCAAACTGGCAAGGGCCAATCTTATATTTTCTAATTCCTCCCTTGTTTGTTGTTTTATACTTTTGAAGAGAATTTAGGTTTCTTGGTTTTTAGTTCAGTGTGAAATCTTTGTACTCCAGTAATCACAGTTTCTACAAGAAATATTCCCTTTTTAGTATGTATTATTTTGGCAAGAATGATAAAAGAATTATTTTAAATAGGTACTAGATGATGACTCCCCAGAGATATATAAAACAATCTCTCAAGAATCTCTTACACCGGGAAAACTGGAAATTAATTTTGAAGAATTATTAAAACAAAAAATGGAAGAAGAAAAACGACGAACAGAGGAGGAACGGAAGCATAAACTAGAAATGGAAAAACAGGAATTTGAACAACTGAGACAAGAAATGGGAGAGGTAAGGTTTTAAGAAATATCCATTTATATTACACAAAGATTCATTAATCTAAGTATTTTACATGTTATTTCCTTACAACTTTGTTAGAATTATTCACATAAAGGACGTGCAACGTACTCCAATGAGGCACTCGATACAAGTTTCAACCTAGTTATGTGCACTTTCTAGCGTGTCATAACTCTACTTCTTTCTTGCTAGTTTAAAAAATATAGATTGCAAGGGATTGAGATATTACTACAGTACCTTAAATAAATATGTATTCCTATAGACCTCACAATTATATGTGGTTACACCATGATTGAGGGCTGTTGTTCTAGAGTACTTCATATACCAAATTGTAATTGTTACTGTCTTTGAAACAAATAGGATTAACCTGATACATTTAATCAAAATAAAACTAAAGGAGTACCATGGATACTAATAGGAACATCAGTTTGGCAAGTCTTTGAGTCATTTTATTTTATTAAAGATAGAACTCTGATGCTGTCACATATTTTAGCATGACTTCTCTAGTGTTGAAATGAAATACACAACACACTCACACTGTACAGGGCCGTCTGCATGGGCATGTAACTTGTGCCCTCAGAGGACCCCATGTTCAGAAGGGTGGCTCTTAGTGGTTTAATCCTCTCAGGTAACCGACTTGAAATGTTTAATAATTTTATCTTTGAATTTGTGTGTTGTACAATGGACAATGGAATATGTGCTCGAGTCTTAGCCCACCACATATGCTGAGGTCTGCCGCCTCCCATGGTGGGTTCTCAGCAGCCCCCTTCCCACCTCCTGATGCTCCCAAGGCCCTTTCTCCTTTCTGCCCCTGGACGTCGCAGCCCTCCACCTGGATGGCCCAGCCAAGAGGGAAGAGAGAGGCCAGCATTCCAACTCTCCCTGGGATACTGGGGGAGGTGGGGAGGGGCCGACAGCAATGTGAGCAGGATTGGGGAAGAGCACACAGCCCAACTTGGGACAAGGGGTGACTAGCAGTGACACAGCATGTTGGCAGGTGCCTCGGTGGGAGCCTCTTGCCAGCTCCTGATCTCAGAACCCAGTGGGTTCCTACAGAGGTTGTAATCTTAGAAATTGTCTGTCATGGGTTAATGGGTTAGGGCATTGGGCCCGTGGAGATATTTACTTCCTTGCCCTCACGGACCAAGAGAGTATAAATGAATAAATATATAGGTAATAATAAAATATGAATATGCTGTAGGAAAATATTCCAAGGTCTAGCCTTAAAAAAATAGCATTTATTTTATAAAGGAAGCTGAAAATGAATTGTCTATAGAAAAATTAACTTCAAAATTAGAACATATTTCAGTATACTACTCAGATGTAATCTAATTAATATATGGCAGAATGTAACTGTCAAGACATCCTGGTGCTACTGACTTACCCCACTATGCCTGGGAGTTTTCAGGCAAGTAGCACACCAATTCCAAGGTCACCTAGACTGTAGCTGATTAGTTCAATCGTTAATTTTCATCAGATTTGGGGACCGTGTGATATGTTGTGTATCATAAATTTGTTAGTTCCTGGTGTTTTAAGAGTTGCCTGTTTATACCCCTAGATGAAAAAGTAAAGAAAGGCCCCCTCTCCCCCCCTCGAACCAAGAAATTAAGCCTCATGTCACATCCACTGTGACTACTCCCCCCACCTGCTTTTCCCATGGCCTCAGCCTAGAACTCTAGGTCTTCTCAGGGAAAGGAAACCAGTAATAACTACAATATTTTACCACTCCATTTAGCGAGAGTAGGGTTTAGTGTAAGAAGTATACAAAGAACTAGTAGTTATAAATTGTGAAAAGCCAAGGGAAAGGAATCTGAATTTGCTTTCAAGATAAAATGGTATAAAAAATTATATCCTGCCCTGGCCTGGCCGGGTTGGCTGGAGTATCATCCCGTATGCCAAAAGGTTTCGGGTTCGATTCTGAGTCAGGGCACATACCTAAGTTGCAGGATCGATCCCCGGCTGGGGCACATACGGGAGGCAACCAATCTGTTTCTCACACAGTTGTTTTCTCTCTCCCCCTTCCTCTCTAAAAATGGATGAAAGCATATCCTTCGGTGAGGATTAAAGGAAAAAAAAAGTAAAATGAAGAGACACACTTTTAAAAAAAAATTAGATCACAATTTTGGTTGACTCCTATTCTTTCTTGACAAAATATAAAATTGAGAATACAAGTGATACAGAGCAAAGTGTAGGGATTGTACCAGACTGTATCTCGAGAGGTGCTTAATTCAGTTAACTTGAGTATTATGAGTGATATTTATTAGGCTATTATCAAATCAAAGAGGACCTTAAAGATACTGACTCTATATAGAGATGAAAATACGTCCAGTGAGTTGTGACTAAGCAGGCGGCCGCACAGCATTCGTGTCAGAAGGCTGCGCAGTGTCTGAACTGTACCTTACCCGTGTTCTCTGAACTGTGTTTCTCCCCCTTCCCCTAAACAAAGATCTTCCAAAAATTCCTAGTAAAAGCTATTTTTGATATGCATATTTAACAGGTTATAATGAAAGGTTAAATGAAGCTCGAGCCATTCCCTAATGAAAAAATACTTAGATGAAATGTTATCTAAAGTCTTAAATTTGTGGCACTCCTTTTAATTAGTAAGCTTAGGTTGCACTCGGAGGTTGTTTAACCTTTATTTTTGGTTTTAAACAGAAAACGGTGAACACTTTTTGGATGGTTTATTGTACAAACTAATTTTCTAGTATTTAATATATAAAAATATCTTTTTGTTGAAGGAAGAGGAAGAAAATGAAACCTTTGAATTAAGCAGAGAATATGAAGAATTAATCAAATTGAAAAGGAGTGGCTCGATTCAAGCTAAAAATCTAAAAAGCAAGTTTGAAAAGATTGGACAACTGTCTGAAAGAGAAATACAGAAAAAGATAGAAGAGGTACGAGCAAGGAGGGCGGCGATCGACCTGGAAATTAAAGAACGAGAGGCAGAAAACTTCCATGAGGTATGTATGCTGTTTGTGTTTGTTATGGCACCGTGATGGGGGCCCAACAGAAGTAACACAGGCTCTGAAATGTCTTGGTGCTTACCATGAACCACAGGCGTATATGACAACTTGGGAACTAACTAGCAAAAGCTCATTAAGGTCTTAAGAGACTTTGAAATACAGTGGCACCTCGGTTTTCAAGCATCTCTGTTGACGAACATTTCGGGTTCCGAGCGCCATAAACCTGGAAGGAAACGCTTCGGTTTCAAACCGCCTCGGAAGGGGAACACGCCCCACGGCTTCCGCTGAGGGCAAGGGCCTGAGGCCCAGCTGTGGCTGTGGGTCCCTCGGGTTTTGAACATTTCAGACCTCAGCCAGCCTCCAGAACGGTTCACATTTGGAACCCGAGGGACCACTGCACTTCCCCAGTCTAGGAATGTTTCAGACTTTTATTAAAATTAAAGCCAATAGTGAACACCGAATGTTTCACTCTAGCATAAAGAGAAAAAAAGTAGTTCAGAACTATTTATTGGCACAAGTTTTAGTTTGAATCAATAGAATCAATGTATATTTGAGTTAAAATAAACTCGAGATTATTCACTTACCTTCTTATTTAAAGATGAGGCCAAAAATCCCTATATAACCTGCTTAGTCAGGCAATAATTCAGTGGCAGAACCTAAATCAGAGTTCAGGTAACATGAATTTGAAGTACCTCCAAATATAAAATTAGGTGATTACAAAATGACCTGTAATGTGCCTTCCAGTTTGAGGACTAGTTCCATGGTTATGAATATTGGTTTAAACAGGATCTGGCAATTTTCTTCTGCCAGAATTGCCATGTTATAACATTTAACAGCATTTAACAAATATTCCTCTAAAAATGGAGTTTCATCAGATATTCAACTAGTAAGACAGGTGTGTGAAGTTGGAAGGGCCTTCTGAGACAGTGAATAAAAAAAAAATAATGTGCCAATTCTTGAGACTACAGGCAATTATCATTGAGGCAAGCAGAGTGCAAGGACAGCAAATGATAATGAAGATGCAGACAGGCGAGATGACCAGGGACGGTCGTAGATGCTACATTAAGGAACTTTGTTTTATTGGGTGCACTGAGGGGTTTTCAAAACATGAAATGATATCAAGCTAGCACCTTTATACATAGATCATGCTGAAACTAAAGATGGTTTTAGATTAATGCAATAAAAAATTACTTAAAAGCCTAGTATGTTCCAGGGACTGTTCTGGACACTGAGACATTGAGCTGTATTTGGACAAGGTAAAAGCAGTGCGAAACAGGTACTGAGATCGGGTGAGGCAGGAGCTAGGGAGTGCCACTTTTATGGATAGCACTTGAAAACACAGAAGTAGATAAAGCCATCTTGAAAGCTAATAGCTTGAAGGTGAATGATAAAACCCTGGAGAACACCATTTAGTGGATGTTTGGCCATAAGATGTTTCTTTGGAAGGATGTGCCACAGTGGCTAGTTCCATAAGCATGCACTTGATTCCTTGTTAAAGGCGGTGAAACCTCAGAGCAGTAATACCTAGCCTTATAGAATATGTAAGAGGAATAAAAAATGAGGTGCTGACTTGTTTTATTGCTATCGGCTCTTTTGTATAAAAGGATATGAGATTAGGACATGTTTGATCAGTAACCCATGTGGATGCCCTGAATGGTGTTTCCTGTGAAGGACGTTGACAGTCCTCTGACCATATCCCTCTAGATCAGGGGTGGGGAATCCTTTTCTGCCAAGGGCCATTTGGATACTTACAACATCATTCACTGGCCATACCAAATTATCAACTTAAAAATTTATTGAATTTTTAAATTGATTTATTGAATTTTGAGTCCCGCCTGAGGTTGCCTTGGCAGGGCCAGACCAAATGATTTCATGGGCCATATATTGCCCAAAGCCGAACCTTCCGCACCTCTGCTTTAGATTAAGGGTCACTGAGACATCCTTTAAAAACTTGTTAGCATAGTTTTGGCATTGAGTGCAATCAACTTCCAGAACAGGATACTCCCCCCACGCCCCTTCTGATCATGTATCTAGTTTTCTCCTTTAGAAGGACTCAAGTCATTCATGTAACCATCCCTTATCAAAGAATTCCAGTCTAGCCCCTGTAGCCCTTAACCTGTACCACTCATTTGGTACTTAAATAATTTAGCTGCCTTACAGTGTTTGACTTTGTAGTTTTCTAATAACATATACTGTAAAACCATTCCTTATGCTCCCCTTTATCTCTAATTTACTAACTGCACTGTCTTTAATATTCATATGCTGGGGTATCAGTGCCCTATTAAGAATGCACCTAGAGAACAAAAGTTATCCTATTTACTATGATTCTCTTGGGAGATTCACTTCCAGTAACATTTTAAAATCTGGCTTTTCAGGGAATCAAGTAAAGGCAACAGTTGCCCTGGCTAGGTAGCTCAGTTGGTTAGAGCGTCATCCCGATATGCCAAGGTTGCGGGTTCGACCCCTGGTCAGGGCACATACAAGAATCGAGCAATGAATGCATAAATAAGTGGAACAACAAATGAGTGCTTCTTCACTCTCTCTCAAAAAAAAAGAAAAAACACCCCAAAGCAAGAGCAGCAATTGTACTTAATAACAAAAAGAAGTTCATAACTTTTTCCCAGTTAGCTTAAGGAATTCTTATTTACATGTATTTTTTAGCCTATTTAAAAAGTTTAACAACAAACTCTCTAACATCATTCATTAGCAATAGCTGTAGTCAGGCATGTTTATCAACTGAAGGTAAAATATGGCACGTATAATAGAACTTACCCACTAGGTATCTGGCTATGTTTGATGCCCAAGGACTTTCCATCAAATGAAAATGTGATTCAGGACAACCAGAAAAACTATAGAACTTATTCTAATTCCTCCTTCTACATTCACTGGAACTTAGATACAATACCTCAAATTGATATAAAACATCCATGAATCAAGATTTTTATTATAGGCAACTATTTTACAGCTTGTTTCAAAATTTAGTTGGATGTGGTACCCCAAAGCAATTTCCTCATTCTGTGATATCTTCAGATAGACCCACAAAAAGCCTAGTTTCAAAACTGTCAAATATGACTAAAGTACTTTAAACCATGGAATTAACTAGCTATATAATCCCGCTGGACTAAAACTCTTAAGGCCATCATTGATTTCATCACTAAATTGATTTTATAGACTCACACTATTTTACAGGTGAAACACTACTCTTAAATTACTTTCAATTTTAATTATTTCCATGGTTTCCAACTCTTACCCCTAGATAGATGATTCACAACCACTCCTGACCTCAGTGATTTCCCCAAGTCCGTCACTGCCTCTCAAGTTGCTTTCCCATTATTCTACTTGCACTCTTCTCTGCCATTTGACCATCAATAAATTGGTTGGATGGCATTCATCTGAGTTATTAATGAGGGTGACAAAGGAGATCATGAAGTGGGAAATAAGGGAGTATTTTAATTATTACAGTATGTAGTATCCCCACCCTTTTCTGTTATTCAGTATGGGCAACAAGCACTGTTAACTGGGGAAATAGACACTGGGATTCCACTGATATTGTATGACCTTTACATTGGCAGAAAGGATTCCAGTTGTTAAGAGAATGTTTCACAAATAAAACTTGCATCTTTTCCCAAACTAAAGGATAGTAAAAACCTCTGTCTACAGTGTAGCACAAATATGTATACATAACATGTTAATTACTTTGTGCCTATTATAAATGACAACTTCATAACTATTAACATGTAGTTCTTGGTGGTTTGGAGAAAACAAACAATTCTTATTTTTGGCCCACTTTTGTAAAGGAAGAAGATGTTGATGTCAAACCTGCAAAAAAAAGCGAGGCTCCATTTACTCATAAAGTGAACATGAAAGCTAGATTTGAACAAATGGCTAAGGCAAGAGAAGAGGAAGAACAAAGAAGAATTGAAGAACAAAAGTTACTACGGATGCAGTTTGAACAAAAGGAAATTGATGCAGCACTACAAAAGGTACCAGGCAAACATATCCTTTATTTTTCAAAGATGCTCTTAAAAACCAGTTTTATATGAGGGATAATAAACCGTTTTTATGTCACTGGAATGTTCTGTAAACATTTCATATTCTATTTTTACTGTACCTTTCCTGTTTAGATGTTTACATATTCAAATACACTGTTAAACTGCCTATGGCCTTCACTCTTCAGTACGGTAACATGCCATACAAGTTGATAGCTTAGGAGCAATAGGCCACACCATCTAGGTTTGTGTAAGTGCACTTTATGATGCTCTCACAATGACCAAACCACCTAACGATGCATTTCTCAGAAAGTACCGTCACTAAGCAGTGCACAGCTATGTATTTATATGCTCTTTACTTTGGGGGAAAAATACATTTGCCTTCAAGATTGTCACTAAACCACCGCTATAGTAAATGCTGCTACAGTAAAAGTGACGAGTTGGATGCATTTATTTTAACACAGAAAAGAGAAGAGGAGGAGGAAGAGGAGGGCAGCATCATGAACGGCTCCACCCCCGAGGAGGAAGAGCAAACCGGGTCAGGAGCGCCGTGGTTCAAGAAGCCTCTGAAGAACACGTCAGTTGTAGATAGTGAGCCTGTGAGATTTACGGTTAAAGTAACAGGAGAACCCAAACCAGAAATTACATGGTGGTTTGAAGGAGAACTACTGCAGGATGGAGAAGACTATCAATATATTGAAAGAGGAGAAACTTACTGCCTTTATTTACCAGAAACTTTCCCAGAAGATGAAGGAGAGTATATGTGTAAAGCAGTCAACAATAAAGGCTCTGCAGCTAGTACCTGTATTCTTACAATTGAAAGTAAGAATTAACCACTCCTTAAAAAATCTAATACTTTTATTCTGAAAAATCTAATACTTTTATTTAAAAAATTTTTTTTCCTTTAAAAAGAATGACTTTTCTTCTTCTTTTTTTAGCTGATGACTACTAGCTCCCCTTCCCTCTGCCTGGAACTCACTCTCTCTCCGACTTTCTTACTGCATCCATCTTTTCTGTGGCGGGGCCAAAAATGGAAACCAGAAGTGCCACTAAGCTGACTTCTTATTCTTTTTCATAACAGTCTTCAAAACACAAGCTCATCTAAAGAATACCTTCCTCCTTTCCAAATGAGCACCAGATTCATCGCCATATTATGCAGTTCATGTGCATTTAACAGGGAAAGTGGAACATTTACTGAAATATTATATCAGAACCTATTACAAAGGCTGTGCATTTCCCTTACTTTCACAGCAATGTTAAAAAATATCATAAATAACTCACTATTTTGCACAAAAGTATGCCATCTATGAGCTATTTACACCTAAAATTAGTCTGAAATAGCTGAGACAATGAATTTGGAACCTATCAATTTGAGTGGAGGTTTTTCCTTAGTACATCATTTTGGTGGTTGCAGTTTCAGAACCTTTCTGAAACAGATGTGTGAGGGTTTGGGGTACCACTCCTTTTATGGGAAAGGGGGAGCATAGAGAAAAATTAAAGACTTTTAAGAAACAAATGCCAGAGAAAACTGGATAGAAACCACTGCCTATACAGAGTTCTGAATGCTGAAAATATTATTAAATGTACTTTTCAAATGTGTGTAATATATGCTCAAGTTTATAAAACAAATTTATGTTGTGACCTTGCCTGAACAAATTTCAGTGAGAAACTTTGTATTAGTAGTCTCAGAGGATAACACACTTTCAACATAACTGAAGGTTTCAACATCTAAGAGGATTAGATTTAGAAAAAAAGGCAGTCTTCAATTTCAAATTCTGGTCTTTAAAATGAGTTTGTAAATAGTTACTATGTTCTATTATCAAGTTGTTTTATATTTTGATTTTCTGGAAGACAGTTTTATTTTACAATGTAAACCCATAATAAAGTAACTTCTATATTAAAAAAGTCTCAGTATTTTAGAAAACAGACAAAATACACTTCCTTGTAATATTCATCAATGTACATTTATTTTTTTATTGAGGAAACCATAATACAAAATTACAGCAATCTTGTGTCCTTTTACATACAATGTCATTAAAGCAAACTCTAAACCACAGTTTGTAAAGTATTCAATTTACCTCAAGTCCAAGCTGCATCTCCCTAAGACACTGTTCCCATCACAGTAGCCATTTTAAGCCAATCTTCTTTTTACACACGGGTAGTTTCTGTAGAGAACACTTTTCTCAGGACGAAAATGCATCGAGCATGCATAAGAAAAAATATATATATGTGCAAATACATTTAAGAGTTTCTATATGGGTATAAATGAAGAAAATAAAACCCTTGGATTTATTTGCTTCTTAGAAGCATCAATGTAAAAAATCCCTCAGAAGTTTATACTTGGCAATAAAACTCAATTGACTAAACAAAAAATAAAGTTATTTTCAGAGTCAAAATTATCTTCAGGTATTGTTAAAATACATTTTAAAATGAGGCAGAATTTTCAAGAAATAAAAATAAGACCGTCATTGATTACTAATTTCTACATCCCTATTCTAGACAACAGATAACTTTGCAAATAGAACTGATTCTGGCAGAGTATTCACACAAATGAAACATTATCCTTTCTGTATACATTCCTATTTCCCTCTTATGTACTCTGCTACTCCTACCCAAACCCATCTTTATGAATTAACTACCAAGGTATTGTCTAAGGATGTTTTACAATGTTTATAAACAACTAGTATTAAACGACTAGTTCTAGTATTAAAACCATTTTCTTTAATTAAAAATAAAAGCACTTCTCATTTCTAAAAGAAACATCAAAACATAAGAATTCTAAGTATCACCACACTAAGATCTTAAAAAAAAAAAGTCAAAATTTTAAGTGCTAAATAAATCAGTTCAATTTCAATCTAAACTAAACAATGTTTCTACCACTCCTAACATCCACCACATTCAAACCAACTGGCTCACCTTTTCTGTTTCCATTTATTTCAAGGTTAAGATTAGCGCCATTAAAAAAAAAAAAATGCTTGCAGTATCAGTGAAGGCTTATGGTAACGATAAAAAATTCTCGTAAGACAGAAACAATGCCCCAATATCTATTAGCATTCATCTGTATTCTTTTGTAAAAATGCACACTACTGCTAACCCAAACTTGACAATCTCTCAACGTTCAAAGAGCTCCTTTATGTTATCAATCTTAACATACCTATCATTGACTACACACACACACACACACACACACACACACACACACACACACGGTGCAATAACTAAAACTTATGAAACTTAACAGTTCATGGAACATTTAAGAGCAAGTGAATAGCACTTTAAAATGAAGTGAGCAAAAGCAGGTACATTACACCCTATACCATATTATGTATGGGAATACATTTCATATTTCTCAATTATGATTCGCCAATTTTACCTTCTACATTGAGCCCTTCTATGGTCCATGCTCATCGGCTCACCAATGGCATACACTCAAAGGATTCCTCTTTATGGGTAACTATCTCAGGACCTGATTTTATGAGCTATGATTTGGTGCTTGCAGCATCTTCAGCACTGTGTGTGAAAATGAAGGCAGTATTTTTGAATATTTTTCTTTGTTGTAGAGATAAGCAGGAGTTTTAAAAGGATCAGCACATTTTAGAAATCGAATAAACAAAACTGATATGATGCTGCTTTAAAACATTCATCTTAACTCAAATTATGTACCAGTTAAAATACTCTATAAGAACACACAAACACTTTAAACTGGCAAAAAATGAAATTCAGCGTCAGTTATTAAAGTATTATAAATCAGAAAAATACTGGTGGTTATACAGATTATGAAAGGTTATTTGCTAAACAGTTACCATTTCACTGATGCACATGCCTTTTATGAAAACATACTGCCAGTTTTCTTGATAATTTTTTCCTTTTTCAGTGTATATAAAAGTTATAAAACCCGAACTGCCTAAAAAGGAGTCATAATAAAACTCTCACCCATTATGTCCTTACTGAATTGCTTTAGTTCAAGAATAAGAAAAAAATAAAGACTCCATAGCTTTGGAGGGCAAAGAAAATGTCCTGTCAATCTGAAACAGATTGTGAAGGCTGTTGAACTTTCTGACAAAGTGACTCCCTAAATCTTTAAATCTATGGTCTTTTCTTAATTTCAACAATTTTTCTATATTTGGTAAAAGATTACAAAGTGTGATGTAGTTCAATTACAGCAGCAATCTACTCATCATTCTTTCTTGTTTTCATAAAAAAAATTCAAATAAAAAACATTAACCAGAAATGTAAACAGTTGTTTGAACAACTTACAGACTTTCCACTGAAATAGCATAAATAACAAATACATTTTGGGGAAGCAATAGCAGATTGCTTTTGAATACACAACCACAAAAACCTCACAGGGACAACATTAATGTACTGAAATATTTATTTATATATGTCCTTAGGTTGTGCTTACCTGTTGCTTTTTGCAGCAGAACCTAAGGTGGAAGGTCTGGGAAGGCACTGTGAAGCATAAATAATTGCACTGTTTGCAATTAATAAAGATTTTAAACTTTAAACGAATCAAAATCAACAGCCTCCAATTTGTGAGTTATGATACTGAATCCAACTGAACTATCTCTTCAGTTTAATTAATAAATGTACCACTTTCCTAAAAGGTCATCTATAAAACAGTATCATGCAAAATACTGAAATTGTTCATGTCAATACCCTACTCTTAAAGATAACAGATAACTCCTTAACTATTAAAACTTCAAACTAGAGCTACATATCCATATCTATATAAGGGTAAGGGAAGTCACTCTAACTTCTATAAACAATCAAAAACATTTCAAAATATCCACAATGAACTGTACTGCTAATTTTCTACCCTAGGTAATCTCAACATTTATGTTCTTGTACATCTTCCTTTACAGTATATTCAAAACAACAAATGGTGCTCCCCACCGAGAACTAATATATATTTATGAAATGGTGTTAAAACTGCTACATTGCTTAATATATTTGCAAACTGAAAACCACTTCTGTCTGATACATTTTAATCTTTCATTATTAACATATAAAATATGCATATTTTACACTGAAAAACAATATATTCTAGGAGCACCAATGAGTAATACTATTCAACTTTGTTAATGATCAGTTTTCTTTAGCTATAGCTAAAGCATTTCAAAAATACTTACCCAGTAAGCTCACTTAAAAAAAACAACAGACCTATGTGTTATTCTATGTTAAATTAAAAAGCAGTTATGGTTTTCCAAGATATTAGCACTGTATTCCAACATAATATTCACACAAAGTATGGCATTTACATTATGTGGAACATTGACAAAAAGATACTGTTGCAGTTCATCAATTTGTCATTCTGATGTACTTACAGTGCAATGCTCCTTGAAGGAACACAATCAAGGATGATACACAGCACAGTCCTCCTCACCCCTACAGAGCTAGTTCTATACTGGCTGGATCAAACCTGCACTTCAACAGACAATGGCAAGACAGACTGTATTTGCATGTAGTCTAATATATTAATATGCAAAGAGCCAACAAATACGCAGAGTAAAACAATGGATTTCAACAAAATATCAGAATTTCAGCATGAATGTTATAGAGTAATAAAATGATTTCAAGTACATAAAAAAATTAAGTTGATTCAATGACTGGACTTGTGCACTTACAAAACAAAGCTTATCTATACTGCAAAAAGAAAAAAAAGAAAAGAGCTCGAACATTTTCATACCTCAATAATGTTTCAATGGCAGATGCACTGTACCTATTATACTTTTTGCATACTATTCACTTTTCTACCCTAAATTTAGAAAGAAACACACTAATATTGCATACATTGAAAGAGTTGCTTTACATGAAAAAACTGTTCTTATCAGACTACTCATATTGACTATCTGAAAACTGTTTAAAGTTAGTTATGCTGAAACAGTCTTGGAAATCAAGTAATTATCAAATTAAGAACAGAAAGGTTAACTGTTATAGCAGCAGTACAGGTCTGAAACAGTGGTCATGTATAAAAGGAAATTTCACTGTTAATGCAATGGAAGTATGCCAAAAGATCATTGTACACACATGCAATTTCTAATCAAACAGAAGGAAAAAAAAAATGAAGATATCAGGATTACTTGTGCTGAAACAGCCAAATACAATAAATGGAAAAGATCCTCCAATCTATTACTATACTGCAAGGGGGAAAAAACATGCCAGTGTTTAAAAATTCAATTAATATTTCACGGGGAAAGCTTATATATTTGTGTATATGTATCTTAATTTATCATTGCTAAGAAATTATGAATTCTTTAAATACCCACATATCCAACTTACCGACACAGGAGGTTTCATATCATTTATTGTAAAGCACAAAACAGGCATTTTAAAAGTGAAAGTATACATTGAAAAAGTACATTTATATCACAAAGCATTGACCACATAATAGTTGCAAATACATTTGCTGGAATGTGTACATCTACACTAAATACTAAAAACAAACCAATTTTCATTTCTACACAGAAATATTAACCTCCTATCAGTAGTGATAGATATTTTGTACATTTTCAAAAAAAAAAAAAAAAAAAAAAAAAAAAAAAAAACCAAAAAAAAAAAAAAAAACCACTATTTTAAACCAAAAACAAAATTAAGATCTTCATCAAGTCGTCTGCATCCATATATTTAACAAAGGTATTTTTCCCCCACACAATGAAGCAAATACTGTATTGTCCACTTCTTATTATTGGCCCTGTGCAGAAGAGATACATAAGAAATACACAAAAAGTTAAAGAAAATCCTTTAAATGGAGCTAACTCAGGAGTGAATCCTTTAAGAAAGAAAAACTGGTTAATATAAATGGTGGTGGCTTCTTGCATGATTTGCAAATCCCTGGGGGAAAAAAATTTATTTTTAAAATCAAAGACATTATAGAAATGTTCAGCACTCAGATGCCATAAAGCATTATAAAAAACAAAAACAACCCAAACAGTACACCAGTCTTTCATTTAGTTATACTTTGCCATATAAAAATTAAAAAGGCAAACATAATCCCAAACAGACAAAACAGTAAACATGCAGAAAACATGACTGGAGTTTTTAACACATCAGCGAATTTATTATACCTGAGGTGCTGGAGGATGCTGTGGCATTCCCTGGGGACTTGTCTGGGCATAGTAGGCTGCTTGTTGTCTGTAGTACTCAGCCCAGGCTGCACTGTAATCTGGCTGACCACCTGGTGGAGCACCAGTAGGAGCAGGAACGGCTTGACCTTTGAGAAAACAAAACTTTGATGCTGTAATCACAATTAAAAGCCCAAAAGAATCTCACTTCTAATAAAGACAATACCTTGCTTCTTGTAATATTCCTCCCAAGCCTTTGAATAATCCTGTGTCTGCCCTTGTTGACCTAAAAAAAACCCCCTCAATTTTAATAAAATTATATCCACTGTAAGTACAGCTTATAAAGACAAAAGCAGAGGGTCAGAATTGCTCCTGTTTTCACCAGTGTCAGAAAACTACTCTAATAAAAAATAATTATAGCCCAGAAGTGTGGCTCAGCGGATGAGCACTGACCTAGGATCTAGGAGATTGTGGTTTGATTCCCGGTCAGGGCACATGCCCCGGTTGCAGGCTTGATCCCCAGTCAGGGGTGTGCGGAAGGCAGCCAGTCAATGCCTCTCTTATCATCGATGTTTCTACCCCTCTCTCCCTCTCCTTTCTCTCTGAAATCAATAAAGATTACATATATACACACATATATATACACACACGCACATATATGAAAAGAATGTTCTTTTCTTTTTGTCTTTTAATTATCACTTAATAAAAAATTTAAAAAACCATCCACATAATTTTAACCAAGAAAGGTAAAGATGCAGGCATGATGTGGATTCAACTACAAAATTTATAAACTATTAATGTTACAAATTGAGTTTTAAAAGTGCTTCATGGTGGGAGTGGTGTAAAGGGGGCCAACGGGGGGAGAGGGGAAGAGGACATCTGTTAATACTTTTTAACAATAAAGATAAATTCAGTCTATGGCTCCTTGGTAGTGACTGGTGGGCGGGGCTACTACTGTTTTGCTCTCTTATTCATTTGGATCTGTGACGTACACATTTTAAATAAAATGCAAGTCCTCATGGGAAAAGAAATACTATTGGGACCAAAAATCCACTTAAAAGCTATTTTTTAAAGACTATTATTTTAAGATCTGGCCAAGTTTTGTTTGCTGAATAATAACCTATAAAATTACTAATCGCATTAGTAAAATATATATATATAAAGACTAATCTATAAGATACCCTTTAATAAGATGTTCAAAGTTTTAATACTGTGTTCAAATTACCACACAATTTTATTTAAAAATAACCTGATGAAAGACATAAAGAATAACTACTGAAGAAGTTCTAAGCAACAAGATTAACGAAACACAAAACTCAAGAGCTTTCGTGAGCAGGTATTTACTAGACAGGGCAAATTTTCTGAATTAAGAGACTAACGAGACATAACAAAATATGATGCATGCACCTTAAACAGGCTTTGGATTAAAACAAAGCCTCTACACACTAATAGCTACAAAAGACATTTTTCTCACAACCCGTGAAATGTAAATATGGTCTGTATGTTGCTATTATTGAAATAATTTATTCAGAGCAAACAATTTGTAACTTACTTTGAAAATGGCTCAAGCACATAAAACATGTATACAAAGTACATGTAGCAAACTTTTTAAAAAATGGCGATTCTGTTTAGAAGATATAAATATGGGTATTTGCTGTACTATTTTTTCAATTTTTCTAAAGCTATAAAAATTTTTTAAATAAAAAGTTGGGGAGAAAGAAAACATGTGTTTTCCTATTTAGCTCCTTTATTGGAACAGATTTTATTTAGTTAGTAATTCAGTTGGCTTTATAAAATTACAACTGAACAAAAAATACTGGAGCACAGACATACAGAAAGCTGTTTTGATGTTTGCTAGATGTTGCCAAGGAGGCAACTTTATAGTTATGCACCACACGGAGAATGGAAAGCATATGTGATGGTATACCATGTAGCCTGGGTAAGTACAATCTTATGATGTTCACACAACAATGAAATCATCTAAGGACAAATTTCTCAGAAAGTATCTGTTAAGTGGTGCATGACACATTGTTTTACAAAGTAGTCTATCACCATCACAAAACTGGTCAAAGTGAATAAAAATTTAAGATTTATGACTATCTTTAAAAATGTAAGAAACCCCCTCTCTTCTATGGGCAAAAGCACACAGAAATCTCATATAGTATAAAGAAAATTCTCATATTTTTGTTTTCCAGAATTCTTTCAAAAAGAACGTGAGCTTAACATTTTGATCTAACAAAGAGACAGAATTCAGGCAAAATTGAAAGTTTTCGATATTTACACAACTGCCAAATAGCCTGGTAACGAGTAATAAAATCACATAACGTCTCTTACAAACTGCACTCTTGAAAACCCGCTGACTTGAGGTCAAACCTGGTTAAGGAAGCAACAATATCCACTTCAGGTTTATGTTAGGAAATAAATCTCATTAAGAGACACTCATTTTAGAGGCCAAATTCCAATATAAAATGGCAGAATCAGGGAGACGCATCAAGAAAATACCTCAAATGCTAATATTGCCTTAAAAAAACCAACCTTCCCCAAACCAAATATCCCTGTGAAAGACAAACACGGTAAGTCAGTCAACACTTGACATTCCAATCTTTAAGTCATTGGGGAAAAAACTCATTCTACTCCTCCAATCTGAAGGGTAAATGTGATTAATTTTGCCCAGCTGAAAATAGGAAGGCTATCTAATCTCCTTATGATTTGGCTGTCTGCTAGCCTCTTGCACCTCCCTGGCCCCTTTTTGGACATGTCCTTAGCTTGCTCCCTTTATTCTTTCCCTCAGTTCAAAAACTGTTTTGATGCCAGATAGTTTAGTTTATACTTTAGTAGAATATCGTTATTTAATATTCAGATAACTTCACAGTGTATAGTTTTACTTTCATTTCATTTCATTCAAGAGGTAAGACTTGCTCTACAGATCACACACAACATTCTATTACAGCCCAAGAGCCAGCCTTGCTTGAACAGATTTTCAGTTATCGCTATATACCAGCATCTTTCCCACAACCATTCTCTCCCCCTTGGCTTAAGGTATCATATGCTAAAGGTTACAAGTCTACCATATCAGTGCTTAATATTATAAGGGCCTTCCTCAAGTCAAATTTTTTCCAAAATGCCTTCATTTACTGTCTTCCAAATAGGAATTGCCTGTCTCTACTTTGAAAACCAGTTTGTTCTCCTTAGGGTGTTTACTTATTTAAAATTTTATTTCATTCTAGCTTCAAAAATATCCATTCTCCAGATTGTTGCCATTGCTTATATGACTTAAAATTCCCTTCTTTAACCCTCTAGAATCTCATCGTTAAGAATTTCTCTCCTAAATTCTGTTAACCCTAGGAAATACAGAATTGTTCAGGAAACAAATTTAAAAACCTAACCCGCATGTTTCAACAGAGGTTTATTTAGCAAGAAGCAAACAATAACAAATTTACAGTGTTAGTGGGGATTTTCTGTTCTTGACAGGAAAAGCTGGAATTAGGCTTTAAAGCTGGAACAGGCTGCCTCATTTGGTGAAAAGGGCACTGAATTGGAAATTAGGACATTCAGGATCCTAAGAAATCCTAGCTCTGCCACTGAAGAGTAAAACTTAGCCTCTCCAAATAAGGGAGTTAGATTTGGAGATAAAGATCTTTAATTCTCTGATATTTTATTACTCCATTCTTTCCTTCCATTTAAAAATCTGGAAGATTGAACTTTATTAATTTAATGTTTTAAGGTCTCTTATTTGTGGTTGTTCTAAAAAGAGCTAAAGAACAAGTAATGCACCTTGTAATTAGAGTAATTAAGCAACCAATCACTACAAAAAGAACTTTGATAGGAAAAAAATGACCTTGTATTTATCATTAAAAACCTGACGACCACCCGGCCAGGTGTGGCTCAGCGGTTCAGCATGGACCTAGGATCCAGGGGATCCTGGTTCGATTCCTGGTCTGGGCACGTGCCCTGGTTGCAGGCTCGATCCCCAGTTGGGGGCCTGCAGGAGGTAGCCAACCGATGACGACTCTCTCATCACTGATGTTTCTATCCCTGCCCCCTGAAATCAATGGACATATTAAAAACAAACAAACAAAAAAAACTGATGACCCAACATTTCCTTTAAGATAACAGGGAATCACTCAACTAGTCCACTTGACTCATAAAATTAACAGCTGACCATTATGCTACAGAAAAATACACAAGTGAAAAGAAGGTGAGGGGGTTAAGGAAGATTTTCAGTCAAACATGATGTTATTTAATGAAGTTATTTTTATTACCACCTTTCTCCACAAAGAATTCAAGACAGACCAGCATACTATTTGAAAACTAGAATTTAATAGTCAGTAGGGAATAGATAGAAAATGAAAAATTAAAGGAAAGGCAAAGTGAAGTATCTACTCTTAATAAAAATTTGAACAGTATTAAGACCTTACAGATTACATCCAACATACCCACTCACTTTGGGCAAGTAAAATGTAAAAAGGCTAAACAGCAAATATATTAATGGCCATGTTGCAAAGAAACAATAAAATATAATAAAACAGAAAACATACTCATTCCCCAGTAATTACCTAAGTCTACCAATAGGTCTTTGTTTTCACCTAGTTTTAATAATATAGGGAACAGCCCTTGCTGGGTAGCTCAGTTGTGTGGAGCGTCGTCCCATACACCAAAAGGTTGCAGGCTTAATTCCCAGTCAGGGCACATACCTAGGCTGCAGGTTCACTCCCTGGTTGGGGCGCATTCAGGAGGCAACAGATCATTATTTCTCTCACACTGATGTTTCTCTCTCCCCCCCTTTCTCTCTAAAAATCAATAAAAGCATATCCCCTTAGGTGAAGATTTTTTTTTAAAAAAAGTATATGTGTGTATATATAGATATGTGTGTGTGTATACATGTATGTATGTATGTATGTATGTATGTATATATGAAACATCTCTGGTGTGTTACCCGCTATGAAAAAACAGGTTGGACCTAATGATTTTTAACCTTGACATGCTTAAATCTTTAAAATGGTGAAGCTTTTTCATAAAAGATGACCAGAGGTCCTGACCACTACACTGTCACAAAATGATTAATAGCATTTCCAGTTATTCTATAAAGCATCCCAGTTTGGACAATAAATTAGGTGATCACCCTAAGTACAGTATACCGTTTTGAGGTTAAAAGGAATTTTTTTTTTTTTTTTTTAAGTTTCTTTTCGCAGAATTTCAGTTGTAGAACTGCCTGAAATAAGCTGGGTCAAAAAAAATAAATTCTGTTATAGCCTCAAGAATAACATGCAGCATGACTTTCTTGGAAAGTCATTCTAACAGGGAAAATTATTTTTCCTTTTTAAAACAGAAATCAGCTGTGTAAAAAATCCTTATCACCAGGTACATGCATTTTTATGCAAAAAAATACCACAATAACCCTTCTGGACATTTTTTCCTGTGGAAAATGACAAACATTCTTCGACAAAGAAAACATTAAAATTTACATTGAGAATCACAAGTAGACTGTATTTTATGAAAAATTCTACCATCTATATACCTTCTATACCAGTGAAGGATAAGCAAGTTTATCTGTTTAACTTTCCTTTATGACAACTGGCTATAATAGAAGTTGTGTTGTTTGTAAATGAGTAAGAGCATAAGCCCCTGGTAAACAACTTGTCCAGAAATATAACATCAGGTTCCAAATGGTCCCTAAAAAAGCCAAATTTTGGATATTCTACTTCCACCACTTAGTAGCTGTGACCTTGTTTCTCAATCTGTACATGTGAAGTGTCACTGAAGGTACAGTTCTGTTAATTCACAGCAGTTTGTGTTAATATATTTGCAGAGTAATTAACAACTGTACCTCCCCTAGAATATGATAACCAGAAGGGCAGAGTTCCTAGCTGTTATTCCCACAATCACTTTCTACGCATCTATCACCATGCTTGGCATATAGTATGTCCTCTACATTTACTGAATAAAAATGGCCTTACTAGGTGATTGTTTTTTCTTTTTCACATATGCAAATCCTATTTAACTTCCTCTGTCACTGTAAGTTATTTCTTATATGCTTATTTTGAAGCAAAAATACAAGTCTCCCCTTGTCTATAGTCAACTGTGGTCAGAAATATTAAGTAAAAAATTTCAGAAATAAACAATTCACATTTTAAATTGTGCACTATTCTGAGAAGTGTGACAAAATCTTGAGCCATCACACTTCTCCCACCCAGGAGGTGAACCATCTCCCTTGGTCCAGCATATCCACACTGTATATGCTACATGCACGTTAGTCACTTAGAGCTGTCTTGGTTATGAGATCAATGGTCTTGTAAGTGCTTGTGTTCAAGAAATCCTTTACTTATCATCATAATCGTTCTATTTTATAATCATTATTAATCTCTTACTGTGCCTAGTTTATAAATTTACTATCTCTGGTTTCAGGCATCTACTGGAGATCTTGGAGTATATTATATCCCCTGCAGAAAATGGGGGACACTACTGTAATACCACAACCAATATTTCTTTGGCATGCTAGAACTTAAGCTATGCCATTTTGGCCCCTAACATATATAACTGTCTTTGACAAAAATGTAGGTAATACTGTCATACGTGCCAGTAGGAAAATTTTTAGTTTCAATTGGTAAGTGGTTGACAAAAGGATCTACAAATAAAACCACTTCCTTGTTATGTAATCACAAATTTAAGAATTATTTGTAATCACCTTGAAATGTTTAAAAGTTCAGTGATTTTGAAATGCAATCTTGCTCAATTATTCTCTTAAGATTTTAAAAGTTAATCAATGAAAATCCAAAGTAATAAAAACATGATACGAACATGCTTTTATTGAAACCTCCAACCTTCTAGAGTAATATTTACTGAATTTTTCAATTTAATTAAACGTATAAAAAAAGAAATGTAGAACATACCCATTTTCTTGTAGTATTCTTCCCAAGCCTTGGTATAATCAACCTGTCCAGCAGGAGCTGGATTTTGTTGATCACCTTGTTCAAGAAAAACGAACAAAACAAAAACAAAAGATTAAAGTTTTCAAGGGACAATTTTGGTCTTTTCTGTCACTTCCTTGAGTGGAAGAGTTGGGGGGAGGGAGGTGCTGTGTGACAGTGGAATCCCTGGCTGGTGTACATTGGGGTAGAGTTGGTGGACAGAGAAGATGGTCTATGTATTTGGAAGAGTAGTTACATTAAGCATGTAAGCAAATTCACATGTCAAATAAGAAAACATTGAGGATACCAGGTCCCTCACCATTTATAAACATGAAAAGGAAAAAGGCCAAAAAGAACCTTGAAGTGCAAGAATATAATTGCAGGCGATATGAATGTACAGTTTAATATATATATATACACACATTTAAAACACACATATATACGTTTAATGCAGGTATGCATGCATGTAAATTCCATAGCTCTGTACACTGAAAGGAACTAGAAGCAATGACACTTCTGTAGCAACGAACACATTGAGTTTGGTTTCTAAATACCATCATTTACTAAAAGGAATCAGGGCTCCTTGGAAAAATGGCTGATTCTAGGGCTAGAGCCCAGAGAGCATCTTATTGTGCAAGAAAGTAGAAAGTGCTTAGAGAATAATAGGCATGTCAAAAGGAAACAGGAACAATCTTGAAGGTACTCCTGACTGTCCAAATCTAGGACAGTTTGCTAATCAAAATAATAAAGATAGTCTAAAATACAACCCCTTGAATAAAATAGGAATTCATACTGATAAAGAAGTAGGGAGGGGGAAAAAAAGCTCTTCCTCAGAGTAAAATACTAATAAATGTAAAATGAATGATGGAAATAGGAATTACCATCATAATTGTAGCTGAATGAGGCAGGTGTTAATAACCAATGAAGGAGGCCAATGGGTAGAAGTTCAATGAGGTACAGAATAGTGGTTATAGTCGCACTATAACTTTCTAGAAAATATTAATTTCAAAGAGAAAAATGGTAATTCTATGGTATAGAGATCTGGCAGACACCAATATAACCAAGTCACCATGGTTACCATCTCCAGGGATGAGGTATTCTTGCCATACCATGAGCAGGACACCATCTTCAGGACAAAAGATTGAAGGGACTTAGACTGATTATCATCCCACAAAACAAAAGGCCTGTACTCTTTATAACATGAAAAAGACAAAATTATTCCTGATTGATGAGACTGAACAGACCTGACAACTCATAAAAACGTGTCACCAGATGGGATCCTGGATAAAGAATAAAAATTGTTGGGACAAATGGTGAAATCTGAATTAAGGACTGTACACTGGGACAGTAATAAAGTATCAATGCTGATTAACTGATGTGGAGGGCTGTATGATGGTCATGGATTTCTGGAGTTAATACAGAAGGGGAGTATTAAGGAATAATGGGGCATCATTCCTATAGGTTGGTAGTAAATGGTTCTGACAAAGCCTAATGATAATGGACATGGACACATGATAGGAAGGGTAATAAAAAATGGAGGTGTTAATAGGGGGATAAAACACTTATTAGTTATTAGATAGCTAGGTTATCTGGGTGTTCCTGCTCTATAATGTATCTTACAACTTTTATACAAGTTTGCAATTATTTCAAAGTAAGTTATTTTTTTAAAAGTCTGCTTACCGAAGCTATAACTGAATATTAGAAATTTTTAGGTATCACATGCACTTTATATATAATTCCAAACACACATTTTCACATTTATAAAAAAAATAAATTGTTTTATTACCATAGTTACCTTGTCCATTGGTTTGGGTTGTAGTTGGTGCACCAGCGGGAGCTGCAGGTGGTGGCTGTGCTTGCTGTTGATAATAGTGAGCATAATATGCAGCCCACGCTGCTGAATTTGGATCGGTTCCTGCCTTAGCTAGAATAAACACAAGTTCAACATTTGCATCTAAAATCCATATTCTCTCTCTCTCTCTCACACACACACCCCCCCCTCTGGCAAATACATAAACCCAAAAATTATCTAGACATAAAAAATAGTTAAATAGAAACTTTCACATTCTTCTATTAGTTTCACCATTACCCCTAGCTTTTATAGAAAACTGAGGTTCAGACATTAAGTGGCATTCCTAAGTCCTAGAAAACTAGTTGGTGGCCCAATTTGGATAGGAACAAAGATCTTTTCTCCAAATCCAGCACTTTGTCTTAAACCATCCTGTGCGGGGGTTTTTCCTAAATCAGTTTTGCTTCAAGCACAACAGTTCTATATGGCAGATGACTAAAGAAAGGATTTCTAGGGACTAACCTGTACAAGAAAGAAACAATTATTATAGAACTATGAACTCTCTCCTGTCTTGTTTTCAATAAAAAAACTTAAAAATCTTACAAAACGAAACATATTTCTTCATCTTATCACATTTCACAGTGATTATTCTAAAACATAAACTTGATGTTATAGCCCCACTTGAAATTCTTCATTTATTCCCTAGAGTCTTCAGGACTGTCAAAGCTCTTAAGTATAGCATATTACTCAATAACTTTAATGATCTGGACCCACTAGATTATCCTTTCTATTCCAGCCTCATCTTCCTTGTCGATACTAGAATTTCTAACACTCATGTTCTGGTCACAATAAACTATTTGTACTTTTCAGAAGTTATCATGCTTATATCTGGGTCTTTGAGCATGTTATGCTTCCTCTGCACTGACTCACCTTTACTCACCCTTCATAAAAATCAACTGATGCACTAACAGTTGAGACTTCTCAGTCAGAAACAGAAATTCTTTTATTGATTCTATCCTTTATACTATGAGTATCATATGGTATTATAGGTATATCTTTATTAGTTTGTATCCTCAAGAAGAATGTCATTTCCTTAGCCAGAGTTAGCATCTATAATGTAATCTGTTTATAGACTTCATCCCAAATGGACAGCAATTCTCAGCTGCTTAATAAAAGTGAATGAAGTTTGAGGGGAAAAAAGGAGCAAGGATTTTTAGAGGAATATAATTCTAAAGTGATACAATTCTAAGACATTACACCACCCTCCTAACTCTCTCAAGAAATAAATGTATTGATTGCTTTTCTATGTTGGATATTTATGCCTCAATAGTGTCATTACCTGTATACTAATTAACACAAATACTTTCACTTGACACCATGTCTGGATAGAGAAAATGAGATAGAAGACTCTAGGAAGTGATACTGATACTCCTAAATGAACGTCATATAAGAAAACCAGTCTTAAAGTGCATTAAAGTAATAGTAAAGAAAATAAAAAGATGCTATACAAGTAAAAAAGAAAAAAAAAGAGAAAAAAAAGAAAACCAGCCTCATATTTATATATAAAATACATAATGAGAACTTACTAATTCACTCAGCATAATATTCATTCATTTTTGTATCATCATTTTATAGATAAGAAAACGTAAGATTTAGAGGGGCTAAAAAATTTGCTTGTTACATAATTACTTAGTCGTAAGTCTAAGCATTTTGAAGTCTAAGCTTTTGACTACTACATAAATGCTTAACAGCCCATTAACTTTTTATAGAAATAGATTTAGTTCACAGAATATTGACTTCATTAAATATTTCATTTAATAATCAATTACTTTTTTTTTTTTTACATAATATTATATCTAATATAAGCAATATTTAACTCTAGGGGGTATCTCAGCTAAATGAATTCTTTCTTTCCCAAAAGCAATGCAGGAAACCACATTCGTTAACAAATTCTTACAGTGGTGACTTCACTACTACTCCAAGTGGGAAAATGAGACTGTGATAGAGACCACTTCTCTACTCCCATCATTTTTTTCAATCATGCTACCTACCCAAACAGTGCTCTTATAGGTGCAATTCTGCAGATCCAAGTTACGGAATATAAATATGCCCTTTAACTTGCTCAACCTGTTGAATCTCTTAAATGTTGATTCCTCTGCTTATCACACCATACCAATTAGCTTACAAGAGGGAAAAAAGTCCTTTCATTCTTAAAAGACTAACTTTAGGCTACTATACAGTAAATCACATTTGACTCTCCTGTAAGTCCTTCTATCACAGTATTGCTAACACTTGGAGTGCACTCTTCTGCTACAGAATGTAAACTGCTCTTTGCACACACCCAGATCCTAGGCACACTCAAGTTGTTTCTTAAATGAGTGGATATTGTTGTGGTTATTGAGTGACTGCCATGTTCTGTAATCATATTTCAAAGAACACATCATATTCCTATGAAATTAAAATGTTATATAATATGGGGCCACATTTAAATACCACAATGTTTCCTCTAAATAAATTATTTTAGTTTTTAAAAATACAAATTATTAACTAGTGTGGAAAGGAACTCATAATTCAGTACCTTCCTTGAATCTACTCTGGTGAAAGAGGCCTAAAGGTAGGCATTAGGTGAGAAAAAAGAATCATAAACGACACCGGTTTTGATAACTGTCCCTTTGACCACGGTGAGGGAAAAAAAACTACATGGAACTGAATAGAGTGTAAGATACATAAAACTGAGATCTGAGCAGAGAAAATATTTAACAAAATTTATTTTATTTTAGAGTTCCAACATGCAGATATTAAATACAGACCTAGATTAAGCAAAGAAGTTATATGCATAACCCATGGACACAGATAATAATGGGGTGAAGGCCTGGGGAGGAGGTGGGAGTGAGGTGGAGGGGGTCAACTGAGGGG